TGTGCTAATGGTAATAATGCTAATGCCAGCAAATACAATGGCGGCTTCACAAAACTTTTCAGAGTTTTATGGGGCGTGGTTTGCAATTCACCCAGCCAATGAGAAATGGGAACCTTTTTCTTCCAGGAAAGTCCCTGCTCTCTAGACTAAAAAGGCATTATGATGCATTGATTTACAATGAAAATGCAGGGAAGGGACTGCAAGAAAATGAAATGGTTGGGGAACGATACGTTTCCCGCCCCAGTCCCTAATACTTTCGTTAGATCCATCTTTGAATTAATAGAAATAATCCAATACTCTCCCTCCCCAAATGTCATGATATCTAAACAGTGATCTGTACAGTTAATTTGATCATGTTCCCTAATTTAAACATTCATATCCTAACAAATAATAATATAATATAGCCCCTGAGGCAAGCGAAACCTGATACAAAATAAATCCAAAGTAGAAAATACACCCTCCATTGCTCTCTTAATAAAGTCAGATAATATTCTGGTCAACTAAAGGACAAATAACAAACCCCTACCCCATGTATGACCCCTTTCTCCCCTTATCATTTTCATACAGTCTCTTTTACAAAACTTGCTTGTAGCTTTGTATCACAATACTAAAAATGACTTGATATCAGAAACTCAACAAGTGGGAAATGGAGTAGATGGGCACACTGCAGTATGTGCTGTTGATGTGGTTTGTTTGTGTTGGAAAATAAGCTTTAAATAGGATGTTTACATAGAAGTTAAATTGCAGTGTTCCTTCCAAATGACCTGCGTATCTCTTCTAAGCAATAAAGGACACTTTTTGTTCCACTGCAAGGTCCTGATAACTCTTCCCCCAGCCACATGTAGGAATATAACTTCTTTGTTTGTCTCGTAAAATAATATGGTTTTATTTTGTAATTTCCCTTGTAAAAACCAAATCTCAATTATATCCTGGAGGGAAAATATAAACACAATAATTGTATGCATATCACTCCAATTGAAAACTAAAAGCTGTAGTTATCAGCCAATCCACACGGAAAAACATTCCAGGCACAGAGAGTCTGTTTTCCATTACACAAGTCACAGTTTATCCTTTTCCCTATATTTCTTTCAAAACAAGGGAAGGAGAATGGGACAGACATTAATTTCTCTCTGGAGAGGAACAAGTTATATAATATATTTCCATCTAAAGACAGCCACCTCACCACTGAGGCCTCAAGTTAAAGCAGAGGGCACTCCAGACAAACCTCTCCACGTGTCAGACGGACAGGGAAGTGATATAAACCTGGCTTGGGATATAAACCTGTTTTTAGAATAAACCTAATTATGTAAACCAACCTGGTTTTGCAGGTTACTCAAAACCAAAGCCTCTGTCCAGGCTCAACTTCATAATGCAAGTATGGACATGATTTTTTCATTATATTGTAACAATAATATGGTTACTATTGAGACATTCTAACACCAAATGGACTTCACAGTTGATATTTATGTACCTTTAAGATATTTTCTCTGCTAAATCTCAGACTTGCGTGAACATTATTAGACTGTAGTACATTATCCTGTAATGCAATGCCCAACTAAAGAGCACAACATCTATTAAGATTAGGGCCGGGACTCGATTAAAAAAATTAATCTAATTAATTAGAGGCTTTGTAATTAATTAATCGAAATTAATCGCATTTTTAATCGCATATAAATATTTGACCTGAGAACAGTGAGAAGCAATTTTTTTCACATGGATTTTAGTATACCATTAGGCGCATTCACACCGCAGTACTTTTCCCACAAAGGTTCATGAGAACTTAGTTCATGAGAACAAATGAAGCCGCTGACGTCACTTCTTCTTCTTCTGCTTTGGGTTTACTGGCAGGCCGCAAACCACTTCACGGCGTATACTGCCGCCCAAAGTCCCCGGCCGGAGGTCCCCGGAGTTGGGGAAGGCTTCAGTAGAAGCTGCTGGGAGTCCCAGCAGCTTCTACTGAAGCCTTCCGAGTAAATCGCCAGAACGCCGACACCTCCTCATCTCCACCGCTCCCATGTTTTATTTTGTGTTGCCATAAGTTAGTCTCTCTGCGTTTCTGCGCTGGGCTAATGCTAATGCTAATAATGCTAATGCGAGGATAATAAAATGGCGGCTTCACCAAACTTTTTGGGAGTTTTACAGGGCGTGGTTTGCAATCCGCCCAGCCAATCAGAAATATAGCTCTTTTCTCACAAGAGAGCCGTACGAAAGTCCCTGCTCTCTAGCAGCTCTCTGCTCTCTAGCAGGGACTTTCGTGGGGGTAAAAAGGTTCTCATGAACTAATTTTAGTACCGGCTCTTTTTGGTGTGAACCATAGACTGTATGGTGTGAACGCGATAAAAGAGGCTAACGTCCACGCTAGCTTCCACGCTAGCTGCTATATGTTTTGCATTGAGGTGATACTTGAGGCTTGATGTGCTGCGGTGATATGCGAATTCCTTTTTGCATAATTTGCACACAACCGTGCTCTTATCAACGCTTCCATCCGTCCGTTTTTTTAAAACAACATTTCCCACTGTTGTTCACTGTGGTTTGTTGTTGTCTGAAGTCATGAACGTTAGTTGGTGCTCCAGTATAATCGGTACGCCTGAAACTCATCCAGTGAGAAACGTTCCGCGGTGCAAAAATAAGTGCGATTAAAATGCGTTAATTTTTTTAACGCGTTAATTTTTGTGTAATTAATTAATCTTAATTAACGCGTTAAAGTCCCGGCCCTAATTAAGATACATGACATGTTAGGTCTCCAGAGTTAACACAGCAGAAACCTGTTTTTAATGAAAGTATACTCCATCATACACTTTCAATCTGGTAAACAGCATTAGGCAAATATAAGTATGCCTATTGCCTGCTGAGCTGAGCAGTGTTATGTAAAGACTTCAGACTCAGGTCCTGTGTTAAAATAATTCACATAGCATCCCAGCAGTCTCATACAGACCGTTCAAACTGAAGTGGAGCACATGTTTCAATATCAAAACAGATTTGTTTGTGAAAGTAATGCCAGAGTGGGCAAAGTGCAAGCCACAGTGAAAAGGTATACAAATTAGAAATATATTTCCGTTTATTTTTTTCATGGCCCCAGAGGCACATCACCTGCTTTCAGAGCCCTCTCCTGGCACCAACATCTAAACCCCTGCAGGGCCTGGCCAGCTTTTCTACAGGACCTGTAGGTCATACTGAATATGAATGGCTCTGCAACTGGCAGACAAAGCTATGCATAGATACAACAGGGACAGGGCTGGAGCCAAGTTTTAGTGGATGCAAATGTAAATCGCCCGTGTGTAAAAGCAAGGTGTGACTTTTCACAGATAAGGTTGCATTACGGCTACCAGATTCCTCAAAATGACGTGCCAAATGTTCTATCTGCAGGAAAACAAAACCCACATGGGATTTTCTTTTATTGTGCATGGGCAACAAAGCCTATTTGAACTCATCTGCACTAACTCAACTCAGCTGATGGAGAGACAGCGTGGTTGGCGTCCTGGTGCAATCTGGCTTCAGCCCAGGGAAATTAGTGTTTTCCCACATCCCGCACTGAATTGGACGCTGCACAGGGACCCTGAAGTTCCCATCAGATTGTACTGAGCACCACCAGCGCCCCTCTGGACACTACGTGGGATATCACTAACCTTTTGGTGTGCTGCTCCCCTCCCCGGTTCCCACTTCCCTTCCAGCTCTTTTACCACAACATCTCCACATGCTGACCATTCCTCTGAAGTTGTTACAGTGGGTGGGGTGTTGGGTGGAGTCAGCAGGTTTGTTTTGAGTGTTTGAATGTGTTAGTGATTGTGTGGGCGGGGGTCTGTGTGTGCTTATGTGTGTGCTTTTTGGAGAAATAGAGGGAGGATTGGGGGAAAGCATGCAAGATGCTTTTGCAAGTGCTGCCAGAGAAAAGGTTTGTTTGCAGTAAGGGAGCCAGAGACTTTGAGTGTTATTAGAGTTACTGATACAGTATCACACTCTGGTAAGGGGAGCAGGAGAACAGCAGAGGCCTGAAGGGGAGAGACTGCTCTGCCGGTCATTTACAGTCAGATTCCAGCGAAGCATATCAGCACCATCTAAACAGAGAACCAGGCTGCAGTGCTCTCATGCATCATAACCTCCAGATTTGGCCCATCAGTTGAGGATAAAGTACACAGTTAGCAAAGAACTTGTGGTTTGGGCCTTACAGAAAAAGTAATACAAAGGTGCTTAATTAACCAAGGTGGGAGTGTGTTTGTTTAGTAGAAATGCAGAATGGCATTTCAACACATTTTACAACATAAAAGCAAAGATAAGAGGACTATTTGGAAAGGAAAACAGGATGGTTTCTTTAAAGAAAGTGTAAAATTGGACAGAGTCCATCCCAGAATGGTGTTCACAGACCTCCGTGATTTAACAGGGCTCACAAATGTTGCCATAACTCTCCTGAAAATAAAGCAGAGCCAATTCAACACACGTTTTTTTTTGTTTCTTTGGACTGAATGCAAATAGCAGCTGTTTAAACACATGGGTAGAAAACAGCTACCCACATACACACTGCTTTTAACAGGGCTGAAAATGCTGCACTTTATTTAGTATTAATTCAGATGTATGCATCCTGGTTTGTGGATGTCGCTCAGGAGCAAGCAGACAGTGTGTGCAGGAGACCCACATCAAGGTTAGCAAGGATGGACATGTCATGAAAGTAGCTCAGAGGTGAACAAAACCAAACTGTATGTAGGAATAAGTTCAAGGTGAGGCTTACACATCGACATTAATGAGGCAAAACACTATACAAAAATTGCAGTTTCTCCAAAAACCTTGATTTACACTTTAAAGCTCCCATTGTAGAATAAATGCCTCAGCGGAATTACTTTAAATGTACATTTATGGCAGGCTAAACATTCCCACAAACTATTCTCCCCCGTAATAAACATAAATGTACTGGATTTAGACGAAATTCAGGTTTACTACGCCTCATCTTTTCCCGTTGTAAAGGTGTTTAACCTGAAAACCGAGAACACGGAGCATAAAGACCTTACCATCCACAAGCTGCAGAACAGGAAAGGACTCGGTCACACCTTAAGTCTTCAAAATGGTTGAAACAACTGTCGAATTATGAATCGAAACACCCTTTAAATCCACAGTGTGCCTAAGATTGAGCAGGTTATAGTCCGTTAGTGTGTCGGTGAAGTGAAGTCCATCCACGGTGCGTTTACGGACGAGCCTCCTCCTCCTCCTCTACTACTACACTCTTCTGAACTTTAGCTCCTCCCCCTGCACGCTGCCTGCAAACACTGCATACAACCAGCCTGCAACACACATGGCCTCTCATTTCCTCAATAACTCACTCTAAATAATGCAATAACATGTAATCTACATTTCAGATAAGATGTGCAGGGTTTTTTAAAAGTTGTATTTTAACTGAATGAGTTGAATACACTACATCCCAAATGTCCCTTCTTCACAGAAAAATAAAATATCAAAATGAAAAATGAACATACATACAAATAAATATGAAAAAATGATTATAAATGCATTTAATTATAAAACAACAAGGTTGACAGTGTGCAGTTGTCTTAGGGGGAAAGGGTAAAGTAGTCTACAACTGATTGTGGATTACACAAAAGCACATCAAAACACACAAAAAGAAATGAAAAGAAAAGATGACTACTGGGTAATGTAAGATTGTATTTCTGTAAACGGTTGCATGATTTGCTGCAGAGCTGAAAGTATGTATGCAAAGATTTTGAAGGCCCTTTTTTGTTTATTATAAATGGCAGTATAGTTGTTTGCCACTTTATCATTGAGTGTAACAACACATGGCACACAGAGCTATGTCTCACCGCATTGCAAGCCCAAGTAGCCTACGTTTTTTTAAACTATGCAAAGGTTGTCAAAAAGAGGGGAAATACATTTTCATGGACAAAAAAAAGCATATGATTTGACATGCATGGCCTATAGCAGGTAAGGGACTCAAATCTCAAAGCATACTCTCTCAGATTGTGACAATGCTTCTTGGCTGAGAAAGTCTTCTTTCTCTCTTTGGTATCAGTATTCCTCTTTCTCTTTCTTCTTAAAGCGCCCTGCAGCTGTCAAACAATGAATGACAACTGAGAGCGTCCACCACAAAGAGAATTACACAGGATTATGTACGAGGGCACAGACCTAAACACAACCGGACTCAGCCATTCAAGTAATCTCTTTTTATCCCCAAAAAGAGTTCAATGAACTGTGTGCATGTCTTTTTCTTCTTGAAAGGCTCCTAACAACAGCCTGGCTGCACCATTTGCTCTGCTGCTGACGTCCAATAAAATGTATCTTTCCTTGACAAGGAGAGACATGAGACACATTTGTATGCATAACACAAAACCACTTTTCACACCCGCAGGGAGAAGAAAACATTAATAATTAGTATCCAGCTCCTTGCTTTCAGTGACATGTGACAATGTGAGAATTTGTCAGATATTTTGACTGTTAACACCAAGAGATGTGACGGCAGTAAGCAAGCCAGGCGCAGAACGCTCGAGGCTGCATCTTGATTCAACCCTGCCTCTTTATTGTGGAAATGTTGTCACTCTCTGACTTATTCTGCATGACTGTGACACAGATGAAGCAAAGGCCAACCCTTCCCCAACTGGAAAAATATGTGACAGGTGGGGGTTACATTTACGACACTTAATTCCTCAGTCCCTGTATTTCTATCTCTTTGACTATAGGCATGACTCCCACTCTCAATTATGTATTTTTTTTAAATAAAAGACAGCGACAAATCAAAGTTGTTCTCCTTTATCTGCCAGGAAACCAGTAATCCCTCAAATTCAATCAAGGATTACTCTGATTAAAATCATCCAACTTGTGCAAAAGTCATGTTTGTGACAACAGGGTGCAGATAGGCCACTCAGCAGTTTGAATTCCTTTTAAAAAACCATTCAATCTTTTTAAAATTGCTTTTCTGTATGTTCGGCGGTGATGTATGGTGCAATAATTTATGAATCCATCAAGCTACCGAGTCAACCAAAGTTATTAAGTTCACCCAAAACAAATGAATACAAAAATGAGGAGAGTAAATTAGTCTTTATCTCACACTGAAAAGTGAGAGAATGAAGTGGAAAGCAGTCAGATATTGACTCTCCCAAACTGAAAATGCAAAAACAAGATGTTGAGCACTTTGCAGTTTTTGGTGAAGCACTTTGATAAGAATGAAGTGGCCTCCTGGTAATGAGCACGGCAGGGTTTATCCGTAGCATTTTATACTTTGAATTCATCAAAGTGTACAAATTCTCAATTAGGGCTATTTTTTTAAGTCGTGAAGATTGCATTTTAAAAACGCTCAGTGGTTGTTGATCAAATCACCCTTAATCTGCCGCCCTATTAAAATAATATCTGCTTGTCCTGACAGGGAAGCAAACACCAGCGATTCATATTAAGGTCATGGCAACCCGTGGAGCTTTTATTGGGGTTAAGCCTATGACAGACTCTTTCAGTAAATAATACACAACATCAGATTATCAGATTCACCAAAATAAAGCTTCTGTCAATGAGATCAAGTCATGTTTTATCTTTAATAGACACACTCAAATGCACTCTTGGTTTAGATTAAATTATATTGTGTGTGTGTATTGATAAGTGTTATCTGAATAGGCAACAACAATAACAACAACTTGAACAAAGAAAATGTTAACTTTTAAATTACTTTCCATGCTAGCTACGTGTGCATAAGTAGAACCAAACCGTTCCCATGGTATGGCTGTTTAGTTTTTATTTGGTTTATCGACAACTGGCTTTGAATTAAAGTGATTGAGGTAGACCATTTTGATGCTTTTATATCCACAATGAAAAGTATTATATTGTATAAATTGTGTATGTTTAATGAGTGTTATCTATTAAATGGGATAAAAACAAGAAAATAAAAGTGTATTTCGTGCGAAGGTGACCATTGAGCTCCATCATTATAAGCTACAGGTCTGAAAAGTGAAGCAAAGGACAAGTTTCTAAGTTGCAAAAAGAACCCTGATGTTATAGAAGTCTATGAGAAAATGTCCAGTCTCCTCAGTAAACACGAGTATATCATTTCAATCATAGGCTTCAAGTCTCCCCTAGTCCTGCATAATGTTCATTTAGTAAATTATGGTTCCATTTAGAGTCAACCGTCAAAAAAGATGTTATACTTTAGGGCGTGGCAACCTTTTGATTGACAAGTAACTACCGCTGTGTTATCCGGTTTGGGTGTTGTCAGTGTTTTTGTCTTAAAACTTAAAAATAAATTGTAACTTCTTTGTGGTGAAAACATGCCTTGTTCAGCGTTTGGTTGTACAGTTACTTCTGGTTCCAAAAAACAAGATGGCAAGGTCAAAACATCCCAAAACTCGAGGCTTGAAAACAGTAGTCCACAAACAGATAGGTGACTACCTCCACTTCTTGTTTAGTCTGTGAGTCAGAGCAGCAGGTGTCTCCTGCGGAGCTAACAGCACTATGACTCATCGCCGTGTTCACACCTTGTTCCGCACTAACAGTCCCAAAAATGTCCCCAAATGTCACTCACCCTCTCTCTCTCTCTCTCTCTGCGCAGGAGGTTTTTCTCCTCACGCTGATGATTCATGAACTGTTGCAGCACGCACCCGAGTCTGAAAGTGTCCCATTTGCCTCCTCTATAAATGATCCTGGGCTGAGTTGTTGTGACGGGTGAGTCATTTATCATTGGTAGGAATGACTTGCTGTTTTGATAACTTTAAATCAAAGTGTTGTTCGATGTGAACATGTGTTTTATGCACATTAGGAAACAGACGTGAACTAATGTTTCTTGGACCTTGAGAGGATCACCATATGTGTTTTAAGTTTGTGTGCCGTATGAAACCGTCATCATCCATTTAAACGTGTGTCTAATGCAACATAACTCGTTGGACCCTCATAAAGATTCAATCAAAATGGCAAATAATCACATTTCATCATTGACCTCTAGTAATATCTATTCATACTGAAAGTTGTGCAGACATTAACCATAGATAATATTTCAAAGAGTTCATACAGCAGTGCAAGCTAACATGCTCACAATGACAACTCCAGCTGTTTAGCAGATGTTATGTTTACCAAATGTGATTTAAGCATTAAACATAAAAGCTGTGTCCCAAATCCATACCACTTGTTTCTGAGCAAATGTTTTGTTAGTATTGTGTCTACACTGAAAAACTGACAATGCATGCAACCATCCGGTAGCATACATACTAAATATGTTCAATATTTGAGTGTGATGTTGATGCAAAGCATGTTTTCTGGAAAGAAAACAGCTCCAAATGTGTTTTTAAATCTGTTATTGATAGGTATGTTGCTTGTGAGTTTTTTTACATATGTTATGCTTTGGGCACCACACATACAATTCCTCTTCAACTGTATTGGGGTCAGTCCAGAGATCTAAATATCTTAAGATCTCAGCACATAAAACAAAAAACTACCTGCATTTGGAGATACCTTTAAAACTAAGTTCGAGAATGTCTCTTTTTTTTGTAACCAAGGATCTAATACATCTCCAGGTAGATTTGTTGTTCAGCTAATTTGACCTTCAGTCAGAAAAGCAAGCAATCATTGTTGCAAAAGATGGCAGCTCATGTCCATATCAAAGACATCCTTTCCTTCCAGCCCCCCCCATCTCTCTCCCTCTCTCTCTCGATGTCCGATGCACACACGTCAGAAGTAGGCTTGTGTTTATAGTGACAGGGAAAATAATTAAACAGGAGATGCAAATCACGTCCTCTGCATAAATTGGCTCTTACTTTCATTCCTGACATGTTCAATCATCTCAGAGTGAGTTTTCAAGGTTTTTTTTGGTTCCTCCAGATAATTAATGCTCAGAGGTTTACAACATGTCTTGTCCATGCTGCTGCTCATATAAAACAGGATCAGATAAAGACTGATGCCTTACTTTTACCATCAATACACTGCAATGTGTTGTGACCAATATTTGTATTTCTTTGTTTTTCTTTATGGCATCCTGCTTGTTGAAAAACGTTGATAAGAAAGACTTGACTAAATCTGAGAACCAGAACCATAAAACCAGACAAAGAGAGTGTGACATTGGGCAAAGATTAGGAAACAGACTCAAAACCCTTTGACGCCACAAAAACGTACTGGATAGCTGAAATGCTTGGATGCCTCTTTAATTTCTATAATGACTGAGCATATCCTCTGTCTGACAGCTTCTGTGCACACACCGGGGGAAGGGCTGACATGTGGCTCTAATACGAACACAATAGGAT